CCGGTATATAGAGAGGACATTCCTTTTCTCACACAAGAGGCTTCATCATTCAGTGCCATGCTATAGTGAGATCAGCCCTAGTGGCCTAACAGTCGGCATAAAAGGGTGCAACAATGTTATCTTCAAGAAGTGAAGTCTTCCATTGCAAGTTGACCAAGCTGACCCTTTTCAGGTTCTGAAAGAAGGCAATGGCCGCGAACTCGATGAACTTGATAGAGCCAGCGGCCTGAGACAAGTTGACAGACGTTTTCCTTTGAAGTGCACAAGTGTTGATGACATGGACTCGACTCCAAAGTTTGACTTTGTTCATGACCACAACAGACATTCTACGTAGATTCGCAGAGGTAGTCTTGACATGTCTTGACATTCACAAGGGACTCCATCCACATGAGCCACAAGGGAACTGCTCAAAGAGTATGTTATGGCGCCCATGGCAAGCCGACAGTCGGAGGAAACTCAAACTCATGCAGGCACAGGCGAATGAAAAAGTGCTACAAAATCATTTGCTTAGCACCGCTGAAAGTAGAGCATGCCCTCCCATTTGCATGAAGCAAGAAGACAAGCTGTGGAATCTGGGACCCAACCGGGACCTCACCTGCTGGGGCTCCAGCACCGCAGAACTCACAAGGGATTGGGGCACTCGGGCCAGATCCCCAATCAACGCAGCACTCAGATGTCGCAGACCAAGATCTTCCACGACTCAAGTTGGTGGCCAGCTCCCATTGTGGCAGAACATTACTCCTAGTAGCGTTCTTGCTCCTAGTAGTAAGGCCAGGAGCCCCTAGTAGCATCCTTAATCCAGTAGCGATGCCAGGAGCCCCTGGTAGCGTCCTTGCTACCAAAAAAGACTTCCCAATCAGCAATGCTGGTTCTCATGGTAGGGAGCCCTTCGCAGGACCGCAGGGACCAGGGACACAGGTAGCGAACAGTTCAGCGAGAGTGTTGGAATTATTGTCCTGCCTTTCTCTATCGCTTTTCAAAGGCCATTCAGAGAAACGTAAGTGCTCGATATTACCTGCAGCTGCTCCACCCTTGGATCGAGGTTCACCACTTTCGTGTCAGAGCGGAGACCTTCCATAGCGATAGGTGCAAAGCTCGGTCAGAACTTGGGGCGGTCATGTCTAGAGTGTTCTTGTGATGTTTTCAGTCACAATAATACAGCTGTGGATATATGTCAGTTGACGCACCTTTGAACACCATGTTGCTCGGAATGTCGAGATATCATGCAGCATTTCAAGGCTGTCAAGGGTCACTCCATGGCCTCATTTTTCTCGCTTGATGGTTCACACTTGTACTGTGCCCGTTTGATTTTCCGGACAGATGCAGGTTTTGCTGAGCGCTGGCCCTCCATACACCGAGCTTTGAATCCGGTTGAAATTTGCCATGCACTTCAAAAGAACAACCTCGGAATTGGAGCCTTTGCGCTGGAAGCAAGAGCACTAGCTCAGCGTAGGAGGTACGAGAAGTACTTGCAGTCCAAATTGGCCAGTGAATTTTGGGGTGGAGCACGGGGTCAAGGCATGGACAGATTGCTTCAAGCCCTTCAGAGAATTTCCTTTTCACACAGAGGCGCAAAATGGTCAATTTTAGATGTTGGCGCCGCGAAATATGAAGGCCCTGACCGGTGTCATGCTGCAGACCTGGCCATTTTGTTGGGCTGCAACACTTCGAGTATGACCATCCATGCCCTTGAGCCTTTGGAGGCCCAACTGGTTCGTACTCGGCGGATGGCGGAGCAGCAGCTGCGGCGTGAGCTCAAATTAACCCGGAGGAAAGCTAGCCAGTGTATTCTTTGGCACCAGATAGCAGCCTCAAATGTCACTGGTGTAGCTCGTATGCGGGGACAATCAAACCAGGCATCGTTGTCTACAGCCATCCCTGAGTCAACCTCGAGCCCAGATTACCAAGAAGATCAACGACACCAACGACAAAGCCCTCATTTTGTGGGGACCCAACGGCTGGATGAGTTCGTCCATGAAACTAACTTAGGGCCAGTTTTATTCCTCAAAATTGACACAGAAGGTCATGATTTGGAAGTGCTGCAAGGGGCACGTTCACTCTTGGACAACGGACTTGTTGCAGTTATTGTTTTTGAGGTTGCAGGGCAAATGAATCAAGACTTCTTTCAAATCCATAAGGAAGATGGTTTCCCTCGCCCTGATGTTGCTGCAAGATTGAAAGGGCAATTGGCAGAGCCAAACCTCAGAAGCATAGTCAAGTGGCTGCAACCATTGGGCTACGAGAGTTTCTTGCTGGGAAGTCGTTCTCTCATCCCTTTGTCATTCTCCTGGTGGGATAGCAGCTACGAAGTATGTATTTCTCGTGCGGAGATTCCCTGCTGGTACGATGTGCTGGCAATACTTATGGACAATGGCGCTGGATTTGGGACCTCTTTGCCACAAATAAGACAGCCTATTTTTGAAGCCTTTGAGCCAGTCCTTTGATTGTGCCCACAAGTTTGTAGAGTGATTCTTGCAGAGCCACAACAGGATCATGCTGGATGACATTGCATCGTTTTGCCCACAGGCGACTTCTCAAGTGATTTTCTTGCAGCCACTGGCACCCACTTCGTTGCTCTTGTCGTGTGGTGTTTCTTCTCTACAAGATCTATAAGTTTATAAGGCTGTTCGACACTGGATTACTGTGCCTTTGTTTCAGATTTTGGTTAGCATCGAGGCATCGAGCGCAATGATTGGTATACAATTATTAGTATCAACTGGTATCAATGCAAGCGTCCAACCCGATTTGTCAAGTCAGGCTCCACTCCCAGCTTTCGACTTCAACCTGACATACTGACATACGTTCAAATGTCTGGAATTTTGCACGACCGTGCCTTACCCCTTGACTCAAGGATGGATTCCTGGAAGACGTGTGCTGCTTCCTGTGCAGCACACGTGGTTACATACCAGAGATTTTGGATTTTGTCAAAGGTTTGAGCTCAAGCGTACATGTGTACTGGAAGTATGTGACAGTGCTTCACTTGTAGTGTTCTCTTTTTCTGCTTTGCGCCAACATTTGTCTTTGCCAGAGCAACTTATAATTTAACAGACTGGCTGTGACTGGCTGACTCTTTCTCATCTAAAGAGATTGGTTGTTGCCAAGCAATGACAAGGACGGCAAGAAAGGAACCTGACATCAATACAAAAGACTCACGCGTTTTCCTTCCGCAACATGTTCGATGTACACATTGGCCTCGTTGGATGTTGTTGGTCTTACATTCCCCATCCCGTAGACCTGGAAGTCAGGCAGACAGGAGCTGATTGTGAATTTACAGAATATTCATTCTGCAGTGGACAAATGGCAGACACTCCAGTTGTCTTACTGTTGGCAAACATGAAGAACTCGGCATTACATCCAGTGGCCCTAGCAATCTGCAGTGGACAAAAGTTGCGAATCAAAGTTGGTACCGACTGTGTGGCCTGCCCAAGTTCTTCCGCTAGGTTCAAAGGGTTGTTCAAAGCTCACATTGAAATCAACAGAATTCAGCTTGCCCTCAGTGATTGTTGCCCCTGAAATCCCGTCAACATGCTTAGCACAGTTGGCATTTTGCACCAAACCTTGTCCTCTTGTTATTTTGTATTTTCAATGGTTTAAGGCTGCCATTAAATTTCGTCAAATGTAGTGCATACTTGGTGCAATCTTGCGAGTTTGGAGCGCCGACGTTCTCTGAGGAGACCTCGCAGTTCTTGGGAGGCATTGTGCGAAATGGAATAGGATCAATCAAAAACGCTGGTGTCAAGAGCAAATATCGGTCCAAAGATTCGTACATAATCATCTATAGTAATATATATATATACACATATTGTGGCGGATTTTCCTTGTGACTGTTGTAGCAAACATCTTGAAATGCAAAAAGTAAAAGGTCAAGCATGCAATGCAGTTAAAGCATAATCATGACTAAATGTTGACGTGCTTTGTAATGCAAGTGTTGTAAGCCGCTTTTGCCGCCAGGAATTGCGACAAGGGGACTATGTTGACCTCACGATGAGCGAGTTGTACTTGACAAACAAGCCTGTAGCAGAGCTGCCTCCAAAGGACACCCCAAGCAGCCAGCGCAGCCAGATTGCC